TTTCTGTCACATGCTTGAGGTATTCGGCCAATCACAACACACTGGATAGCTGGCCAATCAGAGCACACCTCGCTTTTCAGACCGATGAGCTTTGTAAAAATCGACGCGTTTCAGAAAGGCAGGGCATAGAGGAGAAACAATAATGTACAGTATGTGGCAAATAATGTGTTTTTTAAACCTTAAACTGCATAAACACATTTCATTACACCAAATACACAAAATAATGTTCTTTTTAGCAACATCATATGACACCTTTAATGAACCAACTTTTTTAAGGGTCAACGAAAAATAGGAATGTCTATGATAAAGAAAAGGAAAAAAAGCACCAAAAGCTTCTATATCTATATTTACTTTTACAAAACCCTCCCTTCAAAGCACATCAGATCTGCTGGTTTACCTTCAGCTGTGTTGCATCCAGGCGGACATCGATGTGTTCGTCCGTCTTGCTGCTGTCCTGGAGGTGGTAGAAGGCTTTGACCTGATCTAGCGTCTTGTGTAGACCCCGTGAGAACAGAGTCACCCACAAGACACTTGGAGCATCCAGATACAGCTGTAGACCATTCAGCTGGGCATAAAGATTAGAGCAGGGTACTAGAGAGAGAAAGGGCCAGTGGGAGGAAAACAAAAATTAGACTTAGATAAATGAAACTCTTTCCCACAGCAAGAATGTGAGTTTTTAAATATGAATGATACGCATTAAACATAGTGATCAATGAACATGACAAATCATAGCTAACACACCAGGAAGTCCAGGGTTATCAGGGAAGTAGTATTCAGTGAACTGAAGGTGAATTGCAGGAGTGCTGTCTGGGAGATGTAAGGATTTGCGGTTGCAGGAGAGGAGAGACTGTGTTCTCTTGCTGTGACGGCCTCCAGTGGACACCTATAGCAACAGATTGGGGTTTTAATAACGGATGCGTTTTATTTATATATCTTTTGACTTAAGCTTCTCAACTTGATCTGTAGAAGACTGTCATTGACGGGCAAATGCACAAGTTGGCTAAGATCTGGGACTTATGTAAAAGATGAGACGGTGGCCAGCTTTTGTCCTACAGAGTGTTCTGGGCTTTAGTTCAATTTTAATCATTTTAAAAAGCAGAACTCATAGCCAGATACACTATCAATTAAAAAAATTTAAAATATTGTTACTATTTAAAATAAATGTTTTCTATTTGAATATATTTTAAAATGTAATTTATTCCTGTGATGCAAAGCTGAATTTTCAGCATAATTTCTCCAGTCTTCAGTGTCACATGATCCTTCTTTAGAAATCATTCTAATATGAATTTGCTGCTCAAGAAACATTTCTTATTATCAATGTTGAATACGGTTGTGCTGATTTATATTTCTATTTTTCAGGACTGCTTGATGAGTAGAAAGTTCAAAAGAACTACATTTATTAAGTACTGACCCCAAACATTTGAATCCAGGGTTGTCTGTGCCAGAACAAGTGAGCGGTTAAATCATTTCTTATACATGAGGGTAAGATTTATGACTTTTATTTCCATATTTTCTGTTTATCACACTGGATAACTTTGAGAACTGTAGCTTTAAGAGTACACACTTATGTCTCTTTTGAGCTACCGAGATAACTGTAAACGCGAGAAAACGTTACACATGAATGTATCAGAGATTCTTTACAAACATTTTCTGAATTAGTGTAACGTGTCCAATTTCTCTCAATGAAACTAATCAAAATGTTCATCGTGCCCTTGAACTTCCCATTTCTGCTCTTAATTTGATAACCACAGCATAACCAAAGCATAACATCAGCAACACATCACATGCTGCTTTATCCTTGTGATGAAAAAGGGATGACATAAGCAGATTTCATTTGAAAGGCAAGTCTAATTTTGGACGGAACTGACTTGTATCACTTTAAAAGCATGAGTATACAAGCTTGTGGTAAAAGAGCAAAAACAAATACAAAACATGTACTTCCTCTTTTAGCAGTCTGTGTATGCACAACAGAAGAAAATAATTACAGATTTTTACAATAAAAGGTTTGCTGTAGATGGCTAAAGTGTTGTTCAAATTACACATTATCCACATATGGGATTCAAAAACTAAATTAAACCTGGAAATAAACATAAAGGTAAAAATACTTTGAAAAATACTGCTTAAAATTAATTTTAAAATACATTAAATTACAACAGATGGACTTTTAATCTGCATTGTATATAAGAATATAAAGGCTGTCATTCTCAAGCGAGTTTCAATGATTTAGTATGTTTGTGTAGAGATGTCTCAGACCTGATGGATGTCCAGGTCGTCCACACGGATCACCATACAGCTGGAGCGAAGTCTCTTCAGCGGGGTTCCTGAGGACGGGGCGGCTGCTGAAGTCCGCCGAGAGGTCGGAGTCCGTTCAGGACTGAAATTGGACAGTGATTCGCCATCTGCGTAACATAAAATAATTCAATATTAAGAAACTAGCACAATAAAGCAAACAAAACCAGACATGCTCATGTCAAATACATCCATTTTTTGAGGAATATATATATATATTTTAGTGTTTAGACTAGGAAATTGTAAGAACTGTAGCTCTTGAGAGAAAACTCTGAGGTAACATTAGCAGAAAAGGAAGAAGTTGCGACACTTTGAAGACAAATTAAAACAAAACTGATGATGAATCATCCACAGTAACACCAACATTTATTGTTGGATTCGGGACGGGTAGCGTTTACCCTTGATTTTTTTGGCTGGAGAGTCTTTAGCGGACACATTTGGCTCTGAGTGAGGTCCAGGGATGCCCAGATCCTCCATCCTCCTCTGAAACTCCTGCAGCAGTTTGGCGGCCCACTGAGCACGAGACTCCATCGCTCCGCAGTGACGCTCCCAGTGCCGACAGCCATCACCTGTACAACACAGCACATCTGCCTCTTATCCTACAGTAGACCTTTCACACAATACACTGACAGCAAACACAGTTAGAACCTAAACATGAAAGCTCTGATCAAAAGTTTGGGGAAAAATGAATGCTTTTATTCAACAAGGATGCATTATATTGATCACAAATGACAGCAAAGACATTTACAATGCTACAAAAGATTTCCATTTCAAATAAATGCTGTTCTTTTTAACTTTCTATTCAAAGAATCCTGAAGACTCATGGTTTCCACAAAAATATGAAGCAGCACAACTGTTTTCAACATTGATAATAATAATCAAATCAGCATATTAGAATGATTTCTGAAGGATCGTGTGACACTGAAGACTGGAGTGATCATGCTGAAAATGCAGCATTACATCACAGGAATAAATTTTATTTTACAATATATACACACAGAAAACGGTAATTATAACTTGTAATAATATTTCACAATTTTACTGTAATTTTGATCAAATAAATGCAGCCTTGTTCAGCATAAGAGACTTCTTTCAGAAGCTTTTTAAAAAATCTCACCGACCACACACTTATGAACGGTAGTGTGAATTTTGAATGGTACTGATTTTGTATGGTATGACCTCAAAGTCTGAGACTGAAAAGTACAATGAAAACCTCTGAAGCGTAAAGCAGGTTTCATTTGAATCTCATATGAACGGCAGTAGAGTCACCTGGCCTGTGAAACGGGTAATAATCACAGCCCAGCTTCCGGAAGGTCAGCTGCATCGCTCCCTGCATCCCTGGAGGTGGAGCTTCATCTATGTGTACAGGAGAAATCACATGGGTGAGCCATCAGTTAGTTCAGTTCATTCAACAATTCATGTGGTTCCAAACCTGCATGAGTTTCTGTCTTTCAAAGAACACTAAAGACAATATGCATTTATATGTCCAAACTGCTCTTTTCCATAAAAAGGCAAAAAATGCATCACTAAAGAAAGTCAAAAGTGGTTCAGAGTCATCCTGTTTCTCACATTAACAGCCCCACTGACTTTCATTGTTTGGAAAAGAGCAGCTTGAACATTCTGTTAAACGTCTCTTTTTGTCTTCCACAGAAGAAGAAAGTAGTATGGGTTTGGAATGACATGAGGGTGAGTAAATGACAATTTTAATTTTTACGAATTTAAATTTTCGATGACTTTTAATGTCTCTTGGTGGTAACAGTGATGAAAAGTCACTACCGGAAAGACTCCATCGCTCCGCAGTGACGCTCCCAGTGCCGACAGCCATCACCTGTACAACACAGCACATCTGCCTCTTATCCTACAGTAGACCTTTCACACAATACACTGACAGCAAACACAGTTAGAACCTAAACATGAAAGCTCTGATCAAAAGTTTGGGGAAAAATGAATGCTTTTATTCAACAAGGATGCATTATATTGATCACAAATGACAGCAAAGACATTTACAATGCTACAAAAGATTTCCATTTCAAATAAATGCTGTTCTTTTTAACTTTCTATTCAAAGAATCCTGAAGACTCATGGTTTCCACAAAAATATGAAGCAGCACAACTGTTTTCAACATTGATAATAATAATCAAATCAGCATATTAGAATGATTTCTGAAGGATCGTGTGACACTGAAGACTGGAGTGATCATGCTGAAAATGCAGCATTACATCACAGGAATAAATTTTATTTTACAATATATACACACAGAAAACGGTAATTATAACTTGTAATAATATTTCACAATTTTACTGTAATTTTGATCAAATAAATGCAGCCTTGTTCAGCATAAGAGACTTCTTTCAGAAGCTTTTTAAAAAATCTCACCGACCACACACTTATGAACGGTAGTGTGAATTTTGAATGGTACTGATTTTGTATGGTATGACCTCAAAGTCTGAGACTGAAAAGTACAATGAAAACCTCTGAAGCGTAAAGCAGGTTTCATTTGAATCTCATATGAACGGCAGTAGAGTCACCTGGCCTGTGAAACGGGTAATAATCACAGCCCAGCTTCCGGAAGGTCAGCTGCATCGCTCCCTGCATCCCTGGAGGTGGAGCTTCATCTATGTGTACAGGAGAAATCACATGGGTGAGCCATCAGTTAGTTCAGTTCATTCAACAATTCATGTGGTTCCAAACCTGCATGAGTTTCTGTCTTTCAAAGAACACTAAAGACAATATGCATTTATATGTCCAAACTGCTCTTTTCCATAAAAAGGCAAAAAATGCATCACTAAAGAAAGTCAAAAGTGGTTCAGAGTCATCCTGTTTCTCACATTAACAGCCCCACTGACTTTCATTGTTTGGAAAAGAGCAGCTTGAACATTCTGTTAAACGTCTCTTTTTGTCTTCCACAGAAGAAGAAAGTAGTATGGGTTTGGAATGACATGAGGGTGAGTAAATGACAATTTTAATTTTTACGAATTTAAATTTTCGATGACTTTTAATGTCTCTTGGTGGTAACAGTGATGAAAAGTCACTACCGGAATCTGAAGAGCTGTCGTTGCAGATATGCAGGTCGAGTCGCAAGATGAAAGTGTGGTAGGATGATTCCTTGACATCGTGGAGGTCAAAATACTGGGCCAGTGTGCCCGGGGTCCCGACCGCTTCGGGTGGAGGAGGTTCAGTCCACAGAGAGTGGATCCCAGGAGAGGGAGGCGCAGTCTGGTGCACAATACAATAAGACATAAATAAACACTCAAGCACTGGCTGCGTCATTCACAGGGAGCGGCTGCGTCTGAGTAGACTTGGGATTTAATATATTATAGAGGGCTTTACATTACATTTACTTTGCTGAGCTGTTTTGTAATTACAATTGTGTTCAAAATCCACACTAAAACCAGTCATGAAGTCCGAGCCAGCTGCAGCATAAGGTGATAAGGTTTCGTTTTCATCTTTGATCGTAAAACACAAAGTGCTGATAAGAAGAATCTAATGGATCATTAATCTGTTTTCGTAACAGACTGATTTAAAGGACACAGTGTGGCACCTGTAGTGTCTCAGCAGCCATGCTCTTCCTCTGCTGGCAGGACTTCTCCATGGCTTCACTCAGAGACTTGGCGTAGTGGATGATGGCCTTGAGCTGAGAGTCTGTCAGCACCCACAGCAGATCATCCAGTATAAACAGCAGCTTAGAGGCCAAGACATTACAGTCCTTCACCTGAGATTAGGAAGGGGAAGAAACGTCAGCACAGAATACACATGATTTCATTCTGATTAGGGCTGCACGATATATTGAAATAAAACTGAAATCGCGATGTGGATTAGTGCAATTACCGTGAATGCTGCGATTTCATTAAATATATGCACTGCATGTTTCAAAGTGAAGCGGCATTGTGGTCATTAACATGCATGTAGCTCATTATAACTTTATTTTACTGATTTTGTTTTTCTTTTAAAGCCAAAATTTGAAAGTGAAGGAAAAAACAATGTAAATATTAGTATTTACTAGTGCTGTCAAACAATTAATCGCGATTAATCGCATCCAAAATAAACGTTTTGTTTGGATGTGATTAATCGGGATTAATCGTTTGACAGCACTAGTATTTACTCTTAGTAGTTACTCTATGCTAGTTATTAGTATTTCTTAGTATAAAATACAATTATTTTTACTATTTTTAATAAATACTATTTTTGTACTTTACTCTTTTGCATTTTACAGTATAATTTTTTCTACATATTTAAATTTATGTAATATTTTTATTAAATAATTGTCACAATCACCAGACGGAGTTCCTTGGACATCCACCAGAGGGCACTCCTCCCTACTCCATTGCCTTTCCATCCTGGACTCTATTTCCCACAATTCTTTGCCCGGTCTCATCTGCTGTTTGCCCCTCTGCCTTGTTTGTCTCCATGGTTCCCCTTGTTAGTTTCCATGGTGTTTAATTAGCTCCTCCCACTTGTTACCCTGTTTGTCTCTCCCTATTTATACCCCATGTATTTCCCTGTGTCTTTGCGAAGTCTTGTTAGTGTCTGCTGCAATTCTGAGCAATTCCCTTGTTTCTGTTTTATTTTTTTTTTTACTTCTTGCCTGTTACCTAAATATCCCTTGCCTGTGTTTCCTGCCCAGTCGCCTGTTTGGACTGTTTTTCCTGTGTTATGATCTTTTGCCTGTTTCGGACTTTGATTCTGGATAACCCTCTAATAAAGCTGCATTTGGATCTTCATTGTACAAGCCATACAAGAGCAGTGTTTATGACAATAATATATCAGAATAAAAATTATAATAATTAATATTATTTTATAGTAATAACGAATGGGTCATAAAACAATGAGGTCTATGATAACTCAAGTAAAGACAAAACATTTTTTTCTCTGGTTACTTTATCGTTTCTGAAAGAGGTATGAGTTGGTTCTTTTAGTACACCAAAGTGTAAACTCCACATATTTGCAAGTTTTTCCCAAATTGTTAAGCCCTAAAAGGATGGTTTACACTAAAAATAAGTCATAAGTTATAGTTTTTTTAGTTATACTTATTTTATTTTTTTATTATTTTTTATTTTCTATGAAGATGCACTCCCCTAAATCACTGTAATCATTCTAGAATGATTAATTCTTAGCCAATAGAGCTATTCAAATAATCTGTTAAAAATTCCTGTATTTTTTTAAATCGCAGTATATATTGCAGAAAAATCAAATATCACAATGTCAGATTTTTTTCCAATATTGTCCAGCCCTAATTCTAATGATTATGAAAATGGTGAATTGATCTTATTTCCAGTATCCCAAAGCAACACATAATACAATCAGATGCAACAGATGATGCCCTATCAAACAATCTCACATGTCAATACATCAACATTGATGTGAAATGAATGAAACTGCAATACAAAATGGTCTAAATTAGGGCTAAAATCTACTTTTTCACAAAAATTACTGATATCTTCCAGGCAAGATGAAAAATCACGCAAACTCTACAATCAGAGAAAAACCTAGGACTAGTTTGGTCATTATCCCAGGTGACTATGGCAAACGTGATATGAAGAGAGAAAATGTTTGAACAGCCAGTTGTTATCAAAACGGTACCCTGCGTTTGAGAGCGATGCGTATGCGTCCTTGATTGGTAATGAGGCGCAGTGGCGTGCTGCCCAGATCCTGCTCGTCACTCTCTATGGCATCCGCCTCTATGCGCAGACTCTGCCAGTTGATCTCTTTGAAGGTGAGGACCTGCAGGACACCAGAGACAGGATGAGGATGAGACATTGCACTCAGTGAGAAACAGCAACACACAAATGAAGACCTGCCTTTCAATTTGAACCAATTACCTTATCTGCAAAGGCATCAGCATCTGGTTAAGCACATTAGCTGGACCCACCTGGGGTCACTTAATACATCTCAGAGACTTTGACAGATGCCAGGTCTTCTAATCGTGAAAACTGATCTCTGGCTAATTAGGTTCTTCAAACGAAGTTGTCTGAGATTACTGCGTGTTCTTGTGTGCATTGGAAAGGGCAGATGTATCGATACTCGAAACCACGATCAGCAATGCAGCGATTGGCTGGCGGCCAGACAGCAACGTAATGACATCATATAATCAAAAAAGAGCATACAATATTATATTCAAATGAACTTTTAAATGATTATTATTATTTTAAATTATTATTGCCCCAGGTTCAATAGGGTACTCTTGTAAAAAAACAGCAGCAGTGGCTAAGACAGACTTTTAAGTCTGCTCATATCTGCTTGCAAGATAAGATGCAATCTATTCCTGTTTACGTGAAATAAGCCTGCCCTCGAGCAGGTTTGAGCTAACGGACCTGTTGCTATGACAGCAACTCTGGGATGAGCTTCTGAGAATCTAGCAATCCTGGATCATGTCAAATCATCAACAAAAAATCCAGATAACGGAGTAATCCATGTACAAAGAACGGACCCCTGGGGCCCGTTCTTCGTACGTCACTTATTACATCCGAGATGAAATGTCACATCCAAGATGATATCACCGCGCTAAACAGGATCTGGCTAATTCGGTCCTTCGAGCGCACCTGTTGTTGATGATTAGTATGGCTGGATTGAGTTATCTGAGATAATTGCGTGTTCATGGGTTGGTTTAAAAGGGGCTATGTATTGATACTCGAAACCACGATCAGCAATGCAGCGATTGGCTGGCGGCAAGACAGCAACGTAATGCCATCATATAATCAAAAACGACTTTTTGGACTTTTATAAGGACACAGCCAAGCGAACAAAACTACATAAATGTTCTAATAGATAAATGAAATGTGCACTGTTTATATTTTATTTTAATTCTTTACATGATTCCTAATTAGGCTATTTATATTCACGATTTCTAATATTTGTGCAGGCTTTACATTTTTATTTCAATGTAGTAATTAGCAATTCATTTAATTTTATATTTGAACAGATTTGTTACGTGACAGCATTATTTAAAGTTTCTTAAGG